TAACCAAACTAGATTGGTTGGAAAAACAACCAATCTAGTTTGGTTAGATTAAACAATGTAGTGATCAAAAGTGAGCGATTGGTAACAGATGTAATGAGTTTGAATTATTGTTAGTGAATTATTATGTCTTGCTAGTGGCATCAGCTGTAAGAGATGGACTTCCACTCTTGAGGTTGATGGTTCAAGACCCATTTCAGACTTTTGAAAGTTGCGGTAAAACTTTATTTTTTATTTTTTGGCTAATGTGACTAATTTGTATTGGTTTGCCATAGTACAAATATAGATTAGGTAAAAAACACTGCCAAAGTTAGATTGGTTGATTTGACCAAAAGATGTGTTGAACACATAACTTCCAACCGATCAAAACCAAAAACTCTGGACACGCTATAATGTTTGAATAATATGACTAAGACCTTTCATTTTGTTCATCGATGCCCAATTTGCACAAGCATTTTCACTGTCTGCTTGAGCTTATTTCACTAAAATGGCAGAAAAACTGTGATGTTTTTCTTCTTAGACGTTTTACACATAAAACTCTTACAAAAGATTTTATTATACAGACCAATCATTAACAATCTCAAAGGAACTTCACGAGGCTTCATGAAATGTTGGAATCGTTGAAGCAATTAGCCACATGGTTCAAATGCGTCATGAGGCTTTATCTCACCATCACTACTTTATAGTGAACTCGGCCAACTTACCGTTCAGACAGATGATCACTTCCCCCGTTGTCACACCGTGCATTGCTTGTGGCATTTTTGTTATTACCCGAAAGCGGGCCGCTGTGACGGCAAATCCCATAATGCTTTGCGAGGAGAGCTCTCCGCGCAAAGCATTCTGGGATATATCTGCTTCTTCTAAGGCCTTTATTTTGTTGTCATACACTTCTTAGACACTTTTTCTCTTACGACCCACAGCCATTTTCAAAAAGCCGCAATGAGAAAAGTGTGATTCAATGGCTGTCTGAAACCGTAACTCATCACATATACACGTCTGTAAGTACGCACGCGCACAAAATGATAGCTAACGGGACGAGCACAAATGACCGCCTTACATGAACATATCACCAGAATGATTGACCATTAGGAAGAACACTTATTTAGATGATCCACTCTGAAATAAAATATCTACCACTATACCTTTATTCTCAACATAGGGCAGAATTCTGCAAAAGAAACATTAAGATTACAAAGATGTTCTAATGTGCTTGCTAGTGATTTGTAAAACCTGCTGAAATTGAAATTTTAACCATGTTTGCTCTACAATCAACTTTTGTTATTGATGTAAATTACATAGCATCTAAATTTAACTTGGTCTCCTGCTGTTACTAATTTTCTCATGTTTCCATTATAATAGAAAGGTTGCTGTTCTCTCTACCATTTCCCTCATGCCTTACTCTCTGTGTGTGCCATCTGTAACCACCGCCCCTCCCTATTCTTCCTCACTGTTGAGAGAAAAAAAAAATAAGCTTCTCTTTTCAGTCATTTTATAGAATCGGCTCTAGGGGCTGATTTGTAGTATTTTTTTCCTGTGTTTAAAAAGGATTCAGCATGAAGACTGAATTGTTAAGTGAAGCAGGCTTATTAATTCAGTAAATCAACCTGGGGTAGCTCGATCTGACTATCTGCTCGCCGTATAAATAGCTGCAGCTCCAATAAAAGGACACATCTCAAGAAAGGAGCAGCAAAAAAAAGCAGGTGAATGTGCAAATTTATTGTTCTACCAGTTGAACTGCCATGTTATTAAAGCATTAATCCACATACTTTTTTTTTCTCAGTAACTTTATTGTTTCTGTTTAACATTTATAACCATATTAGCCTCCTTTGCTTTTCGGCTCC